CCCCCCACCCCCCACCCTTTTCTGCCTAAAGATAGTATATTGATCATCCTGATATGCGAAGTAAAAGATAGTTCAACAACTGACAGTAGACTCGATCTAGTCCAGCTTTGCATAAATCACCAATTATGCATGAAGCAAATGAGTTCATGTTCAGTTATTCTTCAACAATTCAATTATGTACACTATCCAACGCCATTTACAGTATATAAATTACATCTGGAATCAGATTTAAGTTCCTCCTTATAGCTTATCACACATTCCTATCATCAACCTCTCATGCTTACTCTAATTGCACATTTTCCGGTAACTATTAACTCGTTATTGGTTCATACTGTGTACACTGAAGTGGTTTTTATTTAGACAAAAATCTAATATGCAAACAGCAACAACATTAAACAACTATCAAACTTAGGTAGTAAACCTCTTAGCAATTTTTATCAGGTTAATTAGTTGGCAATTTGACTATGCAACTCAAGCACAAAAGCTATTGTAAACGGATTAAAAGTCAAAGTAGAATATGTGTGGGTTGAGTCGGAAAAGTCAGCTGAAATAGGAGATTAATAGTTGGTAAAGCTGACCTTAAGCATAACTACCAATAAGACATTTCAATACAAATTTGAGTACGAAATCTAGCATACCTCTCTGCCTCAAAATATCTGACCCGATCTAATGTCTTGAAACTCTCCTCGCTATGCTTCGAATGTGTATTCTCTTTCTTGCAAGCTGCAACACAAATCTAAAGGGTTAATCATGTGTAGAAGACTAATGAGTAAATACTGTCTGCTAAAGATATGTTGTAGTAATTGGATACAATATTATCGTTTACCTAGAGAATTTCTTTTTGCCTCTCATTGTTTAACACAAAGGATCAACTGACTTCTGGACTGAAATTGCTGAAGTAGCCTAATACGCTGGGTTAGCCAGCCTCTCCTGATGGTAAGGGCTAATGACAGCCTGTGGTGATGACTTCCCTGACTGGTAAAATCAGCTTCTTGCACAAAGTAATAGCGGTGATGCAGCCTACAAAAGGGAAAGATGGAAAATCTTAAATAAGGTTTGAGAATCCCATAAAAACTATTACCATCCAATAGATAAAATCCCATATGGTCATGATTTCTCCTTTCCATTATCTTGCGTATAGGTTCTTTAAAAGAAAAGAATCATGTTGCAGCTGGGAAAGTGGATAACATGCCAAATAACAATATGATTAAGAATTTTATTTATGATCAAATCGAAGACTAAAAAAAACTCAATATATTTTACTTTGAAGTGCAAGCAAGACTTATTCTAGCAGAATCGTACTTATGATATGCTGGCTACTATCTTAATTAACCACGTCATTAACCTCATGCATGAAATTATTACGAAGGCCCTGCAATAGCCTTATGCCCCTGGGGTTCGAACTTGTCACTTGTAAATGTCATACACCACCTGCTAATCTTAATTTTGAGTAACTAGCCTATGTAAAATATGAGACCTAAGAAGATACACCTCTTTGCTTACTGCCCGCTGTCCTTACCACCCATTTAAGTAGTCTCTAATTGACTCCATGGCAACATCAGCACTTCCAAAATTGGCAACATCCTTGGCATCTTCCTCCAGTGACCCTCGAAGAGTCATTCACCACCCCCCTGCAGCCTTTGGAAGTATTTTTCCTGACTTGGATTTCTCATCGGAATCAAATAGGGATTTATTTGCAGCAACAAACTCTATTTTCTTCCTCATCCTCCAAGCTCTCTGATTCTTTTCTTTTGCTTTTACAGAGCACAACCTCATGTAGAAAAAGGAAACACGGGATTCCATTGCATAATATAGAACGCCTTCAGACAAGGTCTCAGCACAATCCTGCAATGAGAAGCTTTTTCAATTGCAGTTTGTCTGCTCTGTCAAAGAACAAAACAGCTTAGAAAAAGATGAACACTTGGTATCACTAAAAATTTAAATCGCAAGAAGCGAAAGAAAAATGGATGATTAAACAAAGACATCATCGTTATGATAAATTATTCTCACATCTACTGTATTTACTGAGTGCTTCCACCACATTTAGACCAATAGATCAATGAATTTAAAGTAAAGGTGCCATCATTGTAGCTGTAGATTGATGACATAACTGAGCGCAGAGATGTAGGGGAAATCAAGGATCTATTGATGAATTTCCAAAAAACTGATTATATGAATCAAGCATTTCATTTTAAAATTTAGTATTCCCAAACATTATAAGTTTGACAAACCAAATAATTCACTTTGCATCCAAAATTGTCCTGACCAAAGATCATCGTGTCCCAACAGATTGTGTTCTAAAAAACAAGTTGTAGTTTTGACAAACCAAATAATTGACTTGGCATCAAAAATTGTCCTGACCAAAGATCATTGTCGAGAAAAAGAGAATGGGTAATCCCTAGAATGATAAATAAGTTGTAGTTTTGATTGAAAAAAACAAATGAACAATAAATGAACACTACCTCCCCGTGCACATATCACCTGAGGACTATAACGATACTATAAGTTACAGAAATGTTTTTCATCAATTAATTAAATATTTCATCCTGAAACAACTGTTGATAACAAATAGATGTTTAAGCTCCTATGCTGGTTCTCACAAGAACCTATCATGACTAGAAACTTGAAATTGGGAATCTTATAAATTGATATACTACAGTGACATACTGATAAAAAAGAACTAGAATGACTAAGAACATTTTATCTCCTGACACAAACCTGAAAACTGTAGATAATTAAGTTTAGATGTGATAGGAATAGCAATCAAACATCCATTTTCATGAGAGTTTAGAGCTAAAACAATTAGCCTACTGACAGACAACTCTCAATCATCGTAAACAATAAAAATTTAGTCAAAAAGTTTCTGTTTCTTTAAGTGATAAGAGGAGTAAATTAGCAATTTAGCAAAGAAACATAACCTCAGGAAGGAGCTACAGTTACAGAAACTTCAAAATTGGAAGACCTAGTTAAGCAGTATACTTATTAAGGACAAGTAGAATGACTTCCTAAATATGATCCCCTGGCCTAGACCTAAACCTTTCAACTATATTCTATATATGATTTAGAATTCGCAGTTAAATCCATTTTCATGAGAAGGATTTTAAGTCACAAAAATTAGCCTTTTGATAGAGAAATATCTAGTCATCATAAACAATACAAGCTAAGGCAAAAAAAGTTCCGTAGATTCACAAGATAGAGTAAAATAGCCATATTAGGAAAAACGACATTTAATGAGGATGAATATTAAAGAAAGAAGAAATAGAAGTCTAACCATCTAAAACTGGAACCATCATTGGACCAGAAAAAGGTCTGAGCTTCCTAGCAAAGTTGTGTTTGAAAGTGCAGAACAGCATCTACTTTGACCACGTTTAGTCCATCAACCATGAATTAGACCATTGCAAATCCTCTATAAGAAAAGTATCAATTCCTTGTTGAGGAAATCACTTTGTTATGCTTGTTGACAAATTAATAAAAGGTCTGAAATGATACACATTGATCCTATAAATAGAATGCAAATAAAAACAAGTATGTTCACTAAGTTTTGCTGAATGAACAATATAACCAAAACAGTAAACAAAGATTACTATGGAAGAAAGGAAGAAGTAAGTGCATTCTATTTGTCCATCTAAAATTTAACTGATAACTATAAGCATATCAAAACTCACCAACCAAAAATAGTTTGTGAAAGGGCTAAGAGTTCACAGAACTATACACTGTCCATTATCGAGATGGCCGTCTGCTGGGAATCACTGCAGAGTAGTGAGATGAAATTTAATGAATAGTCTATTACATAACTGATTTCATCACCAAAAAAAAAATCCATCACATAAGTGAACGAATATAACAGGTAATTACCTTATTTCGAATCATCATAATATCCTTCAACTTCGCTGCTTCCAAGTATGCATGAGTATATATGAAAATCATGAACTGACCACCTGACCAATCTTATTGTAAAAATGTCTATTAAAAAAATAAATGAAAGCACAACATTCAATTAATATTTTATAAAAAAGGATGATTCGAAATGAGACCGTCTTTTGAGCCGGAATCCTTGATTTTAATTGAAAATTAAAATTTTTTGATGCAAAAACCCTGATCTCAAGTGAGAGATCGAGATTTTAAAGTGAAACCCTAATTCAAATGAAAAATCAAGCTTTTGAGGCGGAAACCCTAACTTTGAGTGAGAGATCAACTTTTTGAGGCAAAAAGCCTAGTTTGCATTGAGAGATGAAGAATTTGAAGCGAAAACCCTAATCAAAGTGATAGCTCAACTTTTTTTAGGTGAAAACTCTGACTTCACGTGAGATATCAACATTCTGAGATAGAAACTATACTTTAAAATGAGAGCTAAAAAATTTCGAGATAAAAACGCTAAATTAAACAGATTGTAGTTCTTTAAACAAAAGATTTCCTTCTCACAAACTAAATGCAAAACCCTAATTATTCAAAATGAGAGAGAGAGAGAGAAGCTTGCCACTTTTCTTTGTTGTGCCCACGAGCGCTTGATTGAGAGAGGGAGAAGGCGGGAGAGTAACTAGTCACAGTTAACCACAAGAGGGGGAATTTTATAGATGCCCAATTGCGTTCATCGTCAGCGACGCGTTAAAAGGGCAAAATTGTAACTGCGTACATGATACGCGTAAGATTACGTATCTGCGTACGTTGTACGTGAGGTGTATGTTAACTTCGTATTAAAGGCTTTTGTTCTAATTTGGGTGAATTAGCAAACAAAACTTTTAGCCCATATATTTCGCTGGGTAGTCTCCCCCTTTTAAATTAGACAAACGTTCCTTTGTGAAATGTTTCACGTCGAAAATTAAGGACCCATGAAAAAGTGACAAGTAAACATAGGCTAACTTGCACTTGAATGGAATTGGGATCCTCTCCTCATCCTAATATTTCCTAATGAAGAATTGGAGTTGGGCACTTGAATGTCCTCTTGTTTCACCAACTCTACACTTAAATGACCTTATTTTAAAACAAAGCAAATAAATGCTCTATAGTATTTAAGTATTATAGATAAATATTCTAAAATTTTATGACACTTTGACGTCATCTTAGTTACTTAATGGTGCATGTTGGTGCCCTCTTGTTTACAAAATATTGCCTATAAATATTTTCATGTTTGTCTAACTTAATTCCATTTACTTCATTTAATTTAAATATCTTCGAAGTAATTTTGTATTTTTATTTGAGAAGATGAGGAGACAATACGTGGAATGTGAGTGGGGGCCACTCCTAGACGCACGTGTGACCCTTTCCAGCCGCCCACACTCGAGTTTAGCAGGCCAGGGCCACCCGATTATTGCAGCTATATATATAGCTTTTTTAATCGGTTCCTAAGGTAAGCAAGCAGCGGCGAAAGAAAACAAAAACGCAGTGAATATATATAGCTTTTTTAATCGGTTCCTAAGGTAAGCAAGCAGCGGCGAAAGAAAACAAAAACGCAGTGAGCCGCCGACTTTCAAGAGGAGATTTGAGAAGGTTTGTGCATCCGGCGAAAGAAAACAAAAACGCAGTGAGCCGCCGACTTTCAAGAGGAGATTTGAGAAGGTTTGTGCATCCCTTTTGAGAGAGAAATTGTGAGAGATTTAAGAGTTTGTTTGAGGGTTTTATTTTTAAGACTTTGTGTGATTGTAAACCCTATTTGTATTCTTTTTCTCTCTAATAGTAGATCCCCCCCCCCCCCCCCCCCCCCCCCTCCCCCCACCCCCCCCCCTCCCCCCCCCTCCTTGCCACGTGGACGTAGGCAACTTGTCAAACCACGTAAAAATATTTTGTCTAGCTGTGATTTGTAATAGCGTGTTAGGATCCCGCGACAAGTTAGTCCTAGAACTAATGAGAGAAATAGTATATATCCCACTTTGTTGAGATATATCACTGTCGATTCTTGTTTCCTTTGTGAAACAGGGATTTAGTTAGGATCTTACTCTCTTGTTGTACATCAGATGTGCTGTCGAAATTTTCGCTGCGCACAAGAAGTGGTATCAGAGCACAGGTTTTTGGCTTGAGGCTTGTTCGAATGATTCGCTAAAGGATTCTTATTTGAAGAGTTAGATCTACAACATGGGTGAAACAAGCACATCGGGATCGTCTCTTTTGAAGGCAATACAGAGTCTGAGTATCAATAATACAAAGATTGATATTCTGAAGTTCGACAGTAAGATTAATTTTGGTTTGTGGATGTGTCAGGTGATGGATGCGTTGGATGCACAAAATTTAGAGGATTCTCTTGAGTTGAAAGAGAAACCAGATGATATGGAGGACAATGTTTGGAAGAAGATGAACAGTAGGGCTTGTGGAGTTATTAGGTCATGCCTGACGTCGGATCTAATTTATGATATGATGAAAGAGACGTCTACGAAGAAATTATAGGAAACGCTCAATGAAAAGTATCTTACTAAAAGCATTGAGAATCGACTTCACTTGAAGAGGAGGTTTTACCAGTTCAAGATGAAGATGGGAGTTTCCATTAGGGAGCATGTAAATAACTTTACGAAGTTGCTTTCAAATATGGCCAATGTGGATATTATGGTTGAGGATGAAGATAAGGCGATGCTACTTTTGTGTTCATTGTCGGAGGATGATTATGGTACTTTTATCCTAACTATGATCAATGGTAGAACTACTGTTAGTTATAAGGTGGTGACCTCAGCTTTGGTAAATTATGAATTGAGGAAAAGTAATAACGAACCCTCCGAGAAGACATCAGGAGATACATTAGCAGTTCGAGACCGTACTCCAAATCGTTGGCAGTCCAACCGCTTAAAATCGAGGAATAGAGGTGGTCATAAGAGTGTTGGTAGGAACCAGTATCGTTTTTGTAAAGAAGAAGGATATTGGAAGAACGAGTGCTTAAAGTTAAAAGATAAAGCCCAGAAGAATAAAGGGAAAGCTGTACAAGCTTTGGAAATGAATGTTGTCAAGGCTAGTGATGATAATTTAGATACGGATTCTTCGGGCTTTTCATGCTCAGCATTACCATCAATTTATTACACTGACCCTACGGAGTGGATGATAGATTCTGGTGCTACATACCATATTTGCCCTAAGAGGGATTGGTTCTCCAGCTTTGAGGAGTTAGAAAGAGGGGATGTCGTGCTTATGGGTAATGATCATGTATGCCCTATTGACGGTATTGGTACAATTCGGATCCGCATGTGTGACGGGGTGACTTGGGAGCTGAAGGAAGTAAGGTTCGTACCGCAGTTAACGAAGAACATTATTTCACTTGGAACTTTAGAGGCAGCTGGCTATCGGGTGATCTTGGAGAATGCAACTCTGAAGGTCACGAAGGAAACCATGGTGGTGATGCGAGGTATCAGGAAAAACAACCTATACTACTTAAAGGGTAAGACAGTTACAGGGGGTCTGGCAGCTTCTATCACTACAGAGGAGGACACTACCAGTTTATAACACATGCGTTAAGGATACACTGGTGATAAGTCCCAGGAGGTATTGGCGAAACAAGGGCTATTGAAAGGTGCGAAGACCTACAAGATGGAGCTGTGTGAGCATTGTGTACTTGGGATGAAGACGAGAGTGAAGTTTGGCAACGTTATTCATAATACCCAAGGTATATTGGACTACATCACATAGATGTTTGGGGCCATTCCAAGCACACATCACTTGATAGGGCCAATTATTTTGTCACTTTTATTGATGATTATTTCAGGAGAAATTGGGTATACCCTATGAAGCATAAACATGAGGCCCTGGATATTTTTATGGAGTGGAAGAAGAAAGTGGAACTGCAGACAGGTAGAAAGGTGAAGACTCTTTGTTCAGACAATAGAGGAGAGTATAAGAGTGATCCGTTTCTGCAGTTTTGCCGGGATCATGGTATTAGGCGACACTTCAAAGTTCGTGAGACACTACAACAGAACGGGGTGCCTGAAAGGTTGAACCGTACCTTGCTGGAGAAGATGCAATATATGATGACACGGAGTGGATTGTCAAGATCCTTTTGGGCAGATACGTTGGTTTATGCGAGCCATCTCGTGAATAAGTTGTCGTGCACTACGATACAGGGAAAGACTCCTATGGAGCGTTGGTATGGTTCGGTGGCTAGTGACTATGAGTCGCTTCGAATATTTGAATGTCTATCTTATTACCATGTCAGTGATGATAAATTGAATCCGATGGCAAAGAAAGAAGTCTTTGTGGGCTTTAGGTAAGGAGTAAAAGGCTTCAAATTTTGGGATCCACAGGACAAGAATATAGTTATCAGCAGAAATATTACATTCGACGAGGCGTACATGATGAGGCCTCAAGTCCCTCAGCAGGTGGAGGGAGACCAGACAAGAGGGATATCGCAGCAGGTAGAGGATGATATGACTTCACCCACTCCAGATAGCATTGTATCCATTGAGGCTCCTACAAAGATGACACTAGGAGGAGATGGGATGACGGCCGGGCATATAGAGGATACAGTGAATGGTGAGACTCAGGAGCTGGATCATGTTCAGGAGTCCATTGCGGCAACAGACCCAGAAGAGTGATTCGTCGGCCAGCTAGATATAATAATGTCATGGTTGCATATGCCTTATCAGCAGAGGTCGTTGATGATTTGGTTCCTTCTACATTCAAGGAGGCAGAGTTTGGTTCTGATTCGATCAGGTGGAGGGAAGCTATGGAGGAGGAGATGCGTTCTCTTCAGAAGAACGACACTTGGGAACTTGCAAAGCTACCGAAGGGTAAGAAGACTATTGGATGAAAGTGAGTGTATGTAAAGAAAGAGGGATCTTCTATTGTGGACATTTGGTACAAAGCCAGATTGGTTGCCAAGGGTTATGCACATGTTGAGGGTCTTGATTACAATGAGGTATTCTCACCTGTTATAAAGCATTCGTCGATTAGGATTCTGTTGGTATTGGTGGCACAACTGGATTTGGATTTGATCCAGATGGAAAACAACCTTTCTACATGAAGATTTAGAAGAGGAGATCCACATGGCACAATCTATGGGGTTCAAAGCTGTAGAAAAAGAGGAATTAGTGTGTAAGTTGAAGAAATCTCTTTATGGATTGAAGCAATCGCCGCGACAATGGTACAAGAGATTCGACGGCTTTATGATTGGCTGAGGGTACACAAGAAGCCTATATGACCCATGTGTTTACATGCACAAGCTACAAGATGGTGAGTACGTCTATTTGTTACTATATGTTAATGATATGCTTATTACCTCCAGGAATTCTTTGGCTATTCTAAAGTTGAAAAAGGAGCTGTCATCCGAGCTTGAGATCAAGGATCTTGGAGAGGCGAAGAAGATATTGGGTATGAAGATCGAGAGAGACAGGGCAAAGGGGAGATTGAAGCTTACACAGAGGAGATATCTGCAGAACATGTTAAAGAAATTCAGCTTTGATGGAAATGCAAAGACAGTGAGTACTCTATTGGCTCCCCACTTTAAACTTTCAGCTAAGATGTCGCATGTTTCAGTTGAGGACAGAGAATATATGTCGAAGGTTCCATATGTCAGTACGGTGGGTAGCTTGATGTATGCTATGGTGTGTACGAG